GGAATCGAGTTAAGTTGAAACGATTAAAAATTATCTTTCTCTTTACACGATGATATCTCGGGAATGGGAAGTCGTATCGAGATAAATCAAAAAGTATTTTAAAGAGCAAGTTTCCGCGGTTCTAATGATCTTTCATTCTTCGAGCAAAAATTATTAATTTCGAAGTTATAGCGATTTAAAGTTTTTCTAATTTTTAATAAGATTTCATTCATATATTTTCATCAATAATCGCAATCTTTTTTCTATATTCGAGTTAATATATTATATTGTAACAATTATTGTAAAGAATTAAAGAAAAATTTCCCTTAAAGATCATTGTCATTGTTAATGTAATTAATGGTGACAAAGGGTGTCGGGGAGCAAGGTGTCGTTTAGAATTTCATTTATTATACTTTCAATGTACTTTGTCGCGCCGTGAATCAAACTCTGTAATTAATTACACAAAAGTAACCTCTTTTTAGAAAAGATCGTGTTGCTCGTTATGATAGAAGAGCAATGATACGTTTATAGTAGAGTTTAAGCGAGCTGGAAGCAACGAACCTTTAGAATCTTACCCGATTCTTTTTATTAACAGACAGTATGGTTGACCTGTTCGAATAAAAGACGCTCTTTCTCTCTCTCTTTCTCTCTCTACACTCTACTTCATACACTTTACTCTTTTCGCTCGTGCCGTGGAAATGGGAATAGGGAACAGGTCAAAAGTAGGAATAATTATTTGAGAAAGAAATCTGAACTGTTTTTCTTCTCCATAACACACGACCTGGCAAACTTGTTTTTCACACTTGACAATATCATTCTCCTCGATTGTGAAACACAGCTTTTAAAAATCTCTTGAGAATCAAGTTCATCGATCAAATTTTCTCAATGAATACAAAAATGAATATTTACTGCGATATACACAAAATAAAACAATTCAATAATATAATATAATGAATTGAATACAACGTATTACATACATTTTCGATTTCCTACAAGTACACGATATACATTCATAGTTATCCAGGTAGAAGTACGAGTGTTCTAAATAAATAAAAGATTGGAATATTTTTTGCTATTCGAGAGCTTGTCACTGCGACATTTCCAGGAAAAATAATCCACCTATTCCAATTCACAGAGGCCTCGTATGCGCCATGTGAAAAGAGTGCGCGATAATTGACCGAGATTAAGGTTTAATTAATTTTTACCCAAAGCACCTGGACTGGTAATTTTCGCAGAGCCAGGTTATCACGGGGATCTGGGTGTAGGAAATGAATGATTACCTGGGCGATATGTCGCAACCCTGCTGCATGAAAGCGGCTAGAGCGAACCAAAGGCTGTTTATGATACTGAAATCGTTCGCCATGCTCGAGGTGGGCATATGAGGCGATCCTTGCGACCCGTGTGGATGCTGCAACGTGGGATCGTTTCTCGTCCCCATTGTGGGATCACCGCCACTGCTTAGAGTCAGTACTCGCCATTCGTACGGGGAAAACCTACGAGAGAAACGTGTAATTAATTTTTAATCGAAAGTAATTTTTGTCAATCAAAAAATTTTAAATGATCGAATCGAAGAGAATAGAATAGAAAAAATCGAACGATATTTGACATGTAAAACATGGAATAGAAAGAATCTAAGACGAAAATAATTTTAAATATTATTTTTAATTTAATTTTATAATAACGTAATACGATATGGTATCTGATTTAACAAGTAATTTTACCCTTAATTCTATCCTTTATTTCCCATCTTACACGATTAAACATTGTCAACGATTCTTATCTTATCTCCTATATAAAATATTAAAGTTATAATCTAAATCACCAACGAGTGCAAAGTTGAAACTAAGAGATTTCGTTGAAACGTATAAAGCTTTATCGTCGAGAGAAAATCTAAATCTACATCCGTTTTGTTCGTGAATTAACTCGGTTAGGAAGGCAGTGATCGATCGAGATATCCACCGTTCCAAACGATAAGATATTTCCATTTTATCGTTAGTCCATCGAGATTACGATCGAATCCTCGGATCGCGATCGTTTAAAATCGTATTTGGGGGAGTCACGCGAGAATACCACGAGGAGGGATGGAGACGAAAGCGAACCGGGACGATTTATAGTTGCGAACAATGCTGTGGATCGCGATAAATGCACGCGTGATTGTCGCGAGTCGACACGTAATAGCAAACAAGGTTAGTCGTGATTAGCTAGATCGAGAGGCGAAAGACTAGAAGGTAATGGCGTGGGTCGTTTGCGCGACATCAATCACGGCCACGGAAATTTCAGCGACAATAAATTTCGTTTCTCTCGTTGATTTACGTCGGTTACAATTTGAAGAATTACGTTGTGAGACAGTGAGTAACAGTGTGATAATGTATGAACGAGAAAATTAATTAAAATTCATTTGTATGCAATTCTTGTCCTTTTTCTTTTCACATTTATATTGTGAAATCTCGTATTTGGGTGATATTTCGTGGAAAATGTTATAGTTGATTATACAAATTATTTTTTATAATACATGATACAGAGAAAAATTAATATAATTTTTAAATATAAATTGATTTGTACGAAGTATCATTAGTGTGAAAAGAGAGATTAAGCGAGTCAAACATATATATTTTTACTCAGAGTCTGACCGTATATCGACTGTAACTACTTATCCGTCGAAAAAAGGGAATATCTTTAAGAAAATCGCATTTACCTCGACACGGTAAAAAGAACGATGGACACACCGATGTACGAGAAGATCACACACACCCATATCTCTTTGCTCAGCGGATTCAGAAAGCTGAAAACCCCCGGTTTCTGTTTAATGGGTTTTTTGATCATTATACTGATTCCAAGTGACATAAAGGGTTTACTGAAATCGATCACTCGTTCACGTTCGGACGTGATTGTCATGGGGGCAATCGCAATATCCGCCTCCTGCAAACAAATATCAATAATGAATAACGTTACAAAAATAAATTACATTAATAAATCACAACTAACTGTTTAAAAATACTTCTAAAATCGATATTTCATTCGAATTTTAATCTTTTAAACAAATTCATCTATCGAATAATGATATTTCATTTCATCATAAATTTTATTATAGAAAATCTCTGAAGTGAATTTCTGTTTTTTTCGAAATTCGTCCGCCAGATGTAGCTGGAAACAGGGCAGACGATTGTAAAGAGCTTGCACGCTCGAGACATCTGGTGGAGGAGTTTCGTACTTTCTGACCAAAGATAAAACAGCTCGTTCACCGTCCATTTCGAGATAGAACTGGCCGATCAATAAGTGCAATCTTTCGCCTAGTCGGACGAAATCGTTCGAAACCATCCCGACACGCTGACTTTCGGGATGCTTTGTTCTAGAAATCGTATCGAAATCTCGATGGACGTTTTCCAGAACATTGATTGATTTCTTTGAAACTTACTTTGCGGATCAGCTCGCCGACCATGCCGTCCCAACCACCAGGAACATCAGAATTTTCCATACCGTATTTACCGTCTTTTACTATACGAAGCTCGTCTGGAAAAGGAAAATTTCCTATTTCGATTCATTTGATTTCAAAAGTAAAATTGAGATTGTTAAATTAGTGGAATAATCAAGTTTTTTCTTAGTGGCCGATTTAATTGGATCTTTGAAGGTGGAAAGTTCTTGAACTATTTTAGGGCGGGGTAACCAGGCGGATGCTTGTATCGATATTGTTTAATTTTTATTTTCATTTCTTTTTTGGGGAACGTTATTCATGTAGAAAATTGATATAATTGGATATAAAGAAAAGTGTAAGTGTAACGACGAGCTGTGGATTTTTATTTTTTTCGTATTATATAAATTCTTTCCTTTTTCGATTGTTAAAGAAATTATCGTTTTTCTTTCTCTTTTTAATAACTTATTTCTTGGATTCGAGATTACCTTATGATTTTTATTGTATGTAGCGTGCAAGAAAATATTGTACAGTGTCAATGAGGGAAAATAAAAATATCGTAATATAGCGTGCATAGAAATTTTGTTAATTAAACGATTATCTATCAAAACTAAAATTCGAAAGCTTTGATATTTATATTCTATTTCGAGAGTTGAATTGATCTTTTGATTTGTTCAAAGAAAAAAGAGTTTCGAAAGGATTGGATTTTTCCTGTGCAATATTTCTTTTTATTTTTATTCCTACAGACAATGAACAAGCATTCAAGATTTAAATTATCTCGAGATGCACAACGACACTGCAATTATATTATAATAATCAGAAAGGATGATTGAAATATTCTTGCAAAAAGTTGACTAATACGATAAATATATACTTACACGTTATTCCCAGTTTCTTAGCTATGAGATCAGCCAAATCTTTGCAGTAGCCCTCGTAACTATCATTTCCAGTCAATATCTCTCCGCTATCCGATTTTTTCTGCATAATATACGGTTCTTCCTGCACCATCGGAAACAATATTTCAATGAACAAATTAAGATGAGTTTAAAAAAAAAATCGATCGTTCAAACAAACACAATCCACTCGTTTCGTCCATTCTTACCACAATAGTGGTGACAATGTAGGTTTTATTCTTCTCGATTTCCGCGTGCGGTCGAAGTCGAATGTACTTTGCCGCGATTGCCTGGAATCCAGCCTCGTCCGTCCATTCAGCCACCTTGAAAGGTAAATCGTTGAATAGTTGATAGTTGGTCGAGATACGTTACAATCAACGTGTGATGAACGTATGTGTATGGGTTCGTAGTTACAGACTGGTCAATAATGTCGAGCAAAGTCGTCGATCGAAGGATTGTAAAAAGAAAAAAAAAGAAAGAAAAGGAATTAAAACATTGCAATTGTAATTTGTTTTTCTTTTCTCGTGCGTGATAATTCAATAATAATCCCATCCTTTTCCCGCGAGATTTGGCTGATTGGACATTTTGGAAACCGGTGAAACTAGAGAGATAATGATGGAAGAGGGAAGAAGAGATTCGTTGAACGAAAAAAAATATTTACTTTGACCATGGCGCTGTTGACCGTCATCTCGACAACGTGGAGGGTGTAATTGTGCCTGCGACCGTCATCGTTAAAGCGGATCTCCCCTGTCAGTCCCTCGATTTCCACCTGAAAGTTGAGTAGGAATCAAAGGGTCGGATTGTTCAGCGGACGGATGCCTGCGTTTGTAAACATTGTTTGGAAAAAAGGGTGAATATATATCACTTTCCAAGATTTTTTCAATGGATTCGTTTGTGTTACGATCTACGAGAATAATATATGTAATTCCATGCGCAAGAATGAATCGAAAATGTGGAATAGAATTTTTTCATTCGAATTTTCGAGAAAATCGAATTTAAAAAATTTTCAAACTCGAGTGAACTCGATTCAATGTCCATACGAACGGATAATAGATAAAGGCTTATATTATCTACCAAAAATATGTAAAAAAAAAAATCTAGAAAAAAACTTTTCCATTTTCAAAGCTCTCCGTTCGACGAAATCGAATTTCTGAATTTGAAAATTGTTCGATCCTCTTCGCGATTTTAATTTTTTGTTAAGAGGATTCAAAGGATTAAAAACAAAAAATTCATTTTTAATTACAATCCTTCCAAATGAAAAATCGATCAAAATTTACTTTCGTTGGAAAAATTTCTCAAAAACGAGCTAACAAATTTTATTCCACATTTTCGACCTACTTTCACACGTAAAAATCACATCTCCCTCATCCAGATACCTTCTATCTACACGATCGAACCTCTCCATCTTCTATCAAATTTCATCAATTTTTTAAAGTCAGCCGAAAATTTAATACTTCCTCTCCCCTCTCGTGAAAATAAAATTCTTGACCAATAATGATTATCAATTCTCAGAAATAACAAATTCTTCTTTTTTCTTTTCATTTTTTCCGAGTTTTCCAAGTTTGTCAGAAGACGAATCGACACGTAATAGAAGGAGGAGGAGGAGGAGGAGGGGTGGCACTTCCGGTGTAATTGTACACGTGTGTACACAGAAGGGAGGGGGAACGATCTGACGTGGACGTAGGAATGCCGTTAGAGTCGGAATAACCACCAATTACTGTCAATGGCAGAGAGATGTCGGGAAGGGTCCCCGGCAATTTCGGTTGCCATCGGCATTCGAAACATATAAAGCACTTCCGTGCTCCAAGAATTTCAGACCGAGTCGTTTCCACGTATAACTTTCTCACCCTTTTATAGCGCTTTGACAACTCGTTCGTCGTGAATGCGATATTAAAAAGATAAATACGGAAAGATTCGTTCGTTTGAATGTATGCTAGGAAGGATATTGTTGTCTATATGCATATTCCAATTGATTCTACACATCGTAATTTGAAAATGAATCGTAGTGTGATATTTTTCGTGTGATAGAAAGGGAATTATCTGCCAATTCTCCGATAATTTTGATAAGCTTTTCTCTTTATTCGCTATTAGCTAGCACATAAAGTATTATTTTTGTTTGACATTTTTTGAAACTATTTTTAAGAATATGTTATCGCTACAAACCAATACCTCTTAATGCTAAAAATATTTAATTTCTCTTCTTAACTTGTCAAGAGTAAGAGTAAGGTATTTATTGAATTTTATATTTTAGTACAGGGGTATCATGTGATATTTAATAAATCAAATTGCGCAATGACGTAAAGAAAGAGTATAAGTGAAATAAATTTTACCGAATAAAGATCGACTGTACGCGGAGGAGGACCTTACATTGAGATAAATAATTGAATGGGAGCAGAATTTGTGGAACGAAAAAGTGAGATTCAGTGGAGGTCTGAAAATTGGAGGGATGCGAAAAAAAATTTAGGAACGGAGGGAACGGTGGTGGAAATAAGCTGCGGGTGATTGAATGATTTATTGAGATGAATAGTTTGTTAAGTTCTTAGATTTATGGTTTTCTAACGCTTTTCGCTGTTTGGTTGTCGGATGTTATGGATGGATTGACAATTAACAAATGAGATTATATTCACTTTTTTCTTTTTGTTTTTCAAGCTAGAAAAATTTGTTATTAATCGAGGCGAATGTTTATTTTTCACACGATTTTTAAAGATCGGGAGCGAGTAAATAAAGTTACGTTTTATTTCTTTCTTTTTTTTTTTTTTTTAACAATTAATAGAGATCGAAATTCATAATCCATAAATTTTAAAGAGATTTTTCCGGAGATTTACAATTCGTTAATAATCAAAACGACGTTTATTTTTCGAGCTAATAATTCTAGAGATTGGAAAGTGATTAATGAAGCAATATTTATCTTTTAAACGATTAATAGAGATTGCAATTGATATACAAAACGTTGTTTAATTAAATCGAACAATTTGTAAATATTGGGATTAATGATAAAGATATATTTATTTTTTCAAACGGTTTATACAGACCGAGATTAATAAATGAAGCGAAAATTTTATTTTTCAATCAATTTGCAGAGATTGAAAGTGATTGATAAAGTGAAATTTATCTTTCCACGAGTTAATACGAGTGGAGCAATATTTAAATTTTGTATCGATCGATTTAATAGATATTAAAATCGCTGAAACGAAGCCATATTTATTTTTAAATCATTTTTTCTTTTTTTTTTTAATCTTTCTCCAAGGAAAAAGGAAGGAGGGATTTCACTTACTTTTCTGAGTAGCCTGGAAATTTTATCGCCATATTCGAACGGTGTCACCCAGCCTCGACTGCTATTGCAATCCAGCGCCCTGGTGCCGTTAGTAATCTGACTGCTTCCAGGAATTCCGGTCCGTCTCACGTTGCTTCTGTCAGGCTTTTTTCTCAGAAACTTGTTGAACGCCTCGACGAGGACGAATACGGCATCGTACATCAGCGCAGCTTGCGCCTAATGCGAACAGAATCGTGTATTTTTTTTTTTTTTTGCTTCGAGAATGAGAAAAAGATTAGGTTAATTGCAACGTAAGAATAATTTTTATTCAACGTGTTTCATTCGTTTCTCCATCTTTCTAGTATACATCAATGAGAGTAGAAAATTAATTTTTCTTCGAATATTTTTCCCATAATTTCAAAATTAATTTCTCTTTAAATGTATCGTTCGAAGTACACATTTTCTTCGATCGATCGATAGAAAATTAATTTTCCCCCCTTAAAAGGCTATTGCTCCTGAAGATAAAATGGAAGATGTAAGAAAATATATATCTGAAAAATAAAGGATCGTTGTAAAGTTAATATATTATTATTGGTGGTCGGAATAAAATATTTTTCTGTAAATATCGTAAAATATTGGAAAAACTATTCATTCGAAAGTGTCCATAAGTACGGTAAAGAAGGGGAATCATGGTAATTACAATGGTTTTTAAATTGCTTTCTTTTTCTGTTAGAGATATACTATAAGTATCGGCATGAATTATACATGAAGCTGTTTTCAAACCGGCACGAGAAGTATCGTGAATGTAAAGTGGGTTTCCTAGGGATAATGTAAACGAATGTATATATATATATATATATGTACGTATACATCGAACATCGACTAACTAAAAATTTATTATAACTTATTATTTCTTGCGTTAACAATATAATAATAATCTAATATTCAATAAACAATTTTATACACGATCTCAATTATTATCTCAATTTAATTACCTTCGCGATTTTTGTTAACAATAAAAAGTGTATGTAATTAAAATATCAATTGTTGCTTTGTAATTTGTTACTTTCTTCGAGTGCGCGTATCGAATTTAGAAACGTGCAATTTTAATTAAATCACGATATTGAAAAGGATGGAACGTGTTATAAAATTTCTTCAAACGTCGCTTCGAACGACAAATATAGCGACCAGTTACAATTCCAGTTTACTTTTAATCCAATAAATCTAATAGTTCCACTATTATATAAGGGAAAACTGAAAGTTTGGTACATAGCCCGCGACAATTCTATTATGACACTTCCAGCCAGTCTCGTGCCCAATCGTTCACACCGTTGGATACACAGAATAAAATAAATTACCAATTCCGCCCGTCAAATCGAGTTCTCCCCCCTCCCTATCAAAATTTGTTTGATCGGGACTAACAAAAATTCAGTTTCGAAAACATCCAATCGATCCTCGCCAATGTTCAATTCAACCCTCCATCCATCAATATTCCAAGGGACAGACGTACAGGCGAATCAATTTCATCAAGCTTGCTCGATCATTTAAAACCTTTGTCCCAATAACAATTAAAATCCTCGTTATCATCATTATCATCAAAATTAAATTCAATAATTCAAGATTAAAAAATTAATCATCCCTTCCCCCAAATTTCTTCAAATTCCAGGAACTTGATAACTTATCCACCACACCTGATAACCTTTCCAATATAATAAATATTCCTAAATCGTTATTGTTTGAAATAAATTTCGATCCCCAGTCGATGCTGGGTTAACAAGGGGGGAGGCAAGAAGATCGGCCAGTGGGCGGATGTATGCAGAATCACGTACGTGGCCAAAGTTGAGGGAAGCAGGTTGGGAAATTGCGGGGGGATCGATCAGGGATAATCGGTGTGTTGGATCGTCTTTCGAGAAGCCACCGTGTGACGAGATCGAAGGGTGCGGCAGGGGACGTGGATCGCGATAACGTTGGATCCGTTCGTGCTTTAAGTTAGACGATTCAACGATGGTAAAACTGTGCGAGCGGTTGATAGCCGGGGCGCGGTTACGATTATGGCCGGATGAAATTCGCCGTTCCGCTTTTTATACAGCTTTTTCGAATGTATGTCCTTGGTTGGCTGAACCAATTTTTTGATTCTTTTCCTCGAAGGGATTTTTCTCGAAGATCGATGTCTCGAACAAGTGTCACATCAAGTACGATATTTCGAAATTGAAAGATAAGTTAGTCGGAAAAGAGTTGATGAACGAATCGATTAAAATTTGGTAATTGTGTTGTGTTGTTCGATAAAGAAAGAGGAATAATCAATTCGATGAATAAAATGCGAAGAAGCAATTGTGTGCAGCTAATCTAACTTAATATTACGACACGTATCGAGCCAGTCGGTTGGTATTGTTGCAAAAAAAAAGAAAAAAAAAGAAGAAAAAAGAATACGTTGTAATACCGTGAAATTTTGCTGGACTAGCGTTTACATCGATTTTCGATATTCGCTTTAAACGTTGGCCAGTTTGTATAAATAGCATTATATGATTTCTGGAAACCAATACGCAAAGTACAAGAGTTCCACACAGATAATAATGATTTATAGTCGTGAATTTTTGAATGTTCATACCAAATTGCATATTCTCAAGATTGTATTATCGAAAGAATTTTAAAATATTTTGTATAACGTATAAATTGTCAAATTGAAGAGAAATGATAAGAGTAAAAATATATCTACAAAATTACAAGTGAATATTGTCATTTTGTGTCTTTTTTTTTTTGGTTACTTTTTAATTTTTACAAAGTTGAAAAAACAATTTGAAATAGGTTTGAAAAGTATTGAAAAATGTTCTTCAAGGCAATTTTTTTTTTGTCAAATTTATTCACGTCGAATTTTTTTCCCTGAATTTAAATACAGAAAAAAAAAAAAAACGTGTGATAACTCTTGTCAATTTTAAACGTCAATTTTGTCAATTTCAACGTTTCGCTAAACTCGTATTATTACTATAAATTATCTTTCTCTGTGTTTAGTTTTCGGATTTAACGTGTATTTTTCTATCCTATTTGTATATTTCAAAATAATACTTCCTCTCTGTTTAGTTTTCGGATTTAATATTTATCTTTCTATTCACTTTCTCTACTTTATTTCAAAATAAAATCGATCGATCATAATTTTAACATTTTATCAGATTGCGTAGATTTATTGTCGATTTTAAAAAGGTTGTACCTTTGAATTCAGCAAATTGCTATCATTTTTTGAAATATTAAAGCATTTGCCCAAAAAATAACTTAAAATTTCAATAATTTTAATAACTTTATACAAATGTACGTATATTTTCTCCAATCCATTTTTCAATTATCATATCTCTATACTTATTAATTGTATTCGTGTTTTAATTGTAAGACATCAAAGCACTTTTTTTTATATCGAAATAATGTGAAAATCAAAATTTAAATGAATATTCTTAATCGTATGTGTCACGTTATAATACTTTTCTTTATATCAAAAATCGTATCAATATTTTATTTCAATTACAAATTTACTATTAGTAATATCACACATAATATCGTACAATTTTAACATTCCAATTTCTTTTGTAAAAATTTTTTCATATTCCAGAAAAATAATTACACATATAGTATTAAAGAATTATTAATACTATTCGCTGTACTTTTATCGTATACTTTCATTTTTCTTTAAAATTTTTTAAATGTAAAATCAACACGATCAAAATTTTAACTCGATTAAATTAAATTCTTAAATGGAATATCTTTCGACTCGATCTGCTCTGATCCATCTTCAGACTCGGGATTACGTATCCCCTTGTTTGATTTTCTTTTCCGGTGACTCGAGGCCACCTTTTCGAATGCAATCGCTCCTCCTTGACCGTGCCAAGTATCTGAAAACAAGCCTGAAACCGGAGTAGATTGACGCGCTTAGGGTAGAAAATTGTAGTACTCGAAAGGTACTCGACAATATGGAGCTCGAATAGGGGGGGGGGGAGGGGATTCTCCTTTTTCGAAAATTGACTACCTAGCCTGACTGATGGTACTGCTTTCACGAGTGCTTTCACGGTTATTGGAGATTGGAAACCGGGGATAATGCTTGGTAAATTTCGAGGAAGGATTATTATACTTACGAGAATCTGATTTCTGTATCGAGCGAAGTTGCCAATCGTATGTTTCCACATGAGAAAACTTTAAATTCGTTCTGTATATAATTTCGCGAATAAATGCTAGGCGAAAAAGACGTTTAATTTTGTTGTGAAAAGAAATATAAACAATATCGAATGCAATATCGAAGGCGTGTTTAATTCAAAGAAATAATTCTAAATTTTCTTAAATTTAAAAAAAAAAGAAAAATACATAAAGTGAATACAGAATATATTTAACTCTCTCAACTTATATTTACATAAATGATAACGAATACCTTCGCATCTTGTATTCAATACAGCAATATAATTTCTTTAATAAATTTCACAATAAGATGACTTCGCGATAATCTGATTACTTTATGCATATTCTCAAAAAAAAAAAAAAACATTAAAAAGTCAAAGCAAATCCATTCCTTTTTCTCATACTCTCATATAATAAATATAAAAAATAATAAAGTAACAAACAACGACACATTCATCAACCATCATCCTAATCTTCTTCATCAATGTTAAAAATCTATCCAAACGATAATCGAAACAAACATGCATAAAAAAAGATAAATTCTCCTCTCAGAGAAGAGATATTCCAATGAGAATATTCGAACGAGAAACTGGAGAAAGGCGGAACAGGGGGTGATATATATACGTACAGAAATGGATTCGCGGCCAGCTCCTTGAGACGTTGCCGGGTCGAGGCGATGCCATCCAGCCAGGAAGTCTTTAACGTAGGGCCGTGTCGCGTCCACGATTCGAAATCCGGTGATGTTGATGGCCCCGTACTCGATCACCTCGCTCTCCCATCGATCGTCCATTATCTGATCGCGCGAAAACAGGCCGATTGTAACGATGTAAAAGCACACAGAGCCGGCACATCCACCCCCACTTCCGGTTGGACGTGCGCGGAAATGAAAGGTATATAGATACAGGCAATTTACCGGCGTGACAAAAGCAATCGTTTATCCAATTCTAAGATTAGTCGAGTAATTTGATCTTCGAATCGAGATGTGTGTGTGCGTGTGTGTGTGTATATGTGTGGGTATAAAATGAAGGTATATTGGAATGGTTTATGGAATGAGAGCTTTAATATAAATTTTAAACGATATGATTGGAGATTAGGTTTGGAAATGTGGCATCGATAATTTGTTTTTTTTTTTTCAATAAACACGGCGGAGAATAAGGGTTAATAGAGAATTAGAGAGAATTTGGTGATGCGGAGGAATTCGAATCTCTTACCAATCCGCTTAATAAGTAGTGGTACGTTCTTTTGCCAAGAGCAACGTCCCTCACGTGGCTCACCACGATATCCTTGCCATGTCCGTGGGGCAGTCGAGTACGACGTATTTGTTGCTCCATCTGTAAAAAGATTTGTTTAAGTGTTTATTGTAATAATGGTGTGTAAATTAATCGTGTTATTTTTAATAATTAATAATAGTAATGGTAAGAGTTTTCTTCGATTTTCAACGATGAACGAATATCTGAATCGAATACGAAATGAAATGAAATTGAACATAATTTAAATTGTTTTGTCGTATTATATTTATTCGAAATTCGAAGAAAAAGTATTACGAAGTATATTTTTTTTTAGGAAATTTCGATTGTTGGTATCGCTTCACGTTGATAGTTTAATCACGTTTAAATGAAACAGCATTTACGACAATATAATGTGTTCTCTCTCATACAGATGAGATCCTAACAACGGTGGACAGATAATGAATTTACATAATTCCAGCCGCGTCGCTTCTCCCACGATAAAGTCTCGATGCAACGAGCTGTTTGCCCGTGACGTTTCGAATAGTTACGTTTTGTTTTCGGTAATGGGAACGGTCATTCGATTCGGTCTCATTGTCAGTCCGCTTGTTGATTACCTGGCCCGTGCAAATGCGTGGCCACCGGTAAATTGCGGCCGAGACACGCGGTGGCCGCCTCTGTTCGCGCAAAAGAGTGGATCCGTCACGCTTTACTTTGCTATTCGAGAAATAACAGCAAGCATTTTTATTTCATTCCACCGGATTGAATTTCTCCCCGTAAAATTCAATTAGTTTTTTGTACGCGTTAAATTTGTTTGTTGAATTTTGCGCTTTGTAATTTTGGAATTTAAGACGAACTTTTCCATTGCGCACAAATTTGTTTATTTTTTTTCAAGTTCGAAGTTATTGATCTTTATTGGATCACGGCTTTATTTTTAAGCTACGATTGAATTCTCTTTGTTTTTTTTTTTTAATGAAAATAACAATGCAGTATGTATATATATTCAGTGATCTCGAATTAATCCTGGAAATGGATTCAAATGGAGCATCAATTTGAAAAAAATTTTTTCTCCAGTAAATTTCTTGATATTCCACTCGATCATATATATATATATATATTCGAGACAATCGAAGTCAATTTCTTTCGAAATCGAGGAACAAAGGTAATCTGGATAAAAAAAATTTGCACACTCACCTATTCAATTCTTCCAAACTGCGCAAGAAATCGATCGCCTCGGACATATTTTGTATCCGTTTCACCGTTTCGACCTGAAACGATTCGTTTCCCGGCTTCAAACCCTGATAGATTTGCTGCAGCCTGAGCAGACCTGGAAACGAGGGACGAGATTTACAGTGAGCGGGTGGAAGCTCGAAAATTCTCCATGGCCGTGCGCGCGGTTCGCCGCTCGTCATTACGCATTATACTATTCGCGTTTTCCGAAAATTATGCGCGCACGATCGCGCATCACATCGGTCGTTATTCATTGGCAGACGTTCCGTTTGGTCTGCGGTCCACACCCCAAATGTTTCGCGGTGATTTCGGCGGAACCGTCTCTAATCTCGTGATCAGATGATCGTTCGACGTGCTCGCCAGAAAAAAAAAGAAGGAATTTTATCCCTTCTTATCCACTGATAAATTTTTCCTGACTTTATAGAGATCACTGGATGGATGGAGAAAATAGGACGAACGAGCATAGAATGAACGAAACTTTGGTATTCGATGTAAAAAATTTTTTTTCTCGAGTTAAATGCAACTTTTCCATTGTTTATGATACAATCGAGATAATTTCGAGTTATTTTTTCGAAGAAATCGATTTTCAACATTCTTTATATAGATCATGTATATTGTAATATCTAAATTTTAAAAATCACGTATCTTGATTAGAGAATTAACGTTACACGCGATATTATTTTGTTAATAACGTGTAGTTCATATTCGAAGAATGTTCAAAACCGATTTTTTCTTTTGGTAAACGAAAAAAGTTTTTTTAGAAACAAAATATTTGCGCATACCCTTATTTCTTTATGAATTGTATTCCCAAACCGAGAAATCTTAAATGAAAAAAATTATACTCTATATTACTAGAAAAAATAATTCTATCAAATTTTTATTAATTAAAATACCACATTAAACGATACAAAATCTGATACATATATACATATAACTATAATATCCAGTCGAATCCAATTTTTCCTCCCTACATTTAATCCCCTATCCTAAACATCAATAATTTCCTTTCCTGCTATCGAACGCAACACCTGTCACTCCACCGTAACCCAAACCAAACCACACATATCTCACCCCTTCTCGCCGATGGCCAATATTATCGGAGATACAATTCCCGGTGACAAACCTCCAAACCGAGCCATCCCAAAACCGACCATCTTCCCCGAGTCTTCCGCAACTCCAATCAAAACTCCGCTGCTATTCATCCGCGTCTGTTTCACGCGGAAGCAGATATTAAACGCTCTCGCTGTTTGCGGACAGGGGGGAGGAGGAGGAGGGAGGACGTGGAACAATCGACCGCGATGAAAGGATCGAGTGACTCGTAACCGCGGATACGGGCGAGGGCTTAATGCGAATAGATGGGGGTGGAAATTGAAAAATCAGAAATAAAAGGACGAAGGTGGGAACAGTCAACAGAATCGGCCGCGTTTCGTGCTTTTTTGCAGCGCGATGCGTGAAACTGATGGCCGGGTTAACGAGCGCGTTACAAAAGGGCGGCAAGCGGGTTTCAACGAGTGGCGAGCGCGGATACTTCGTGAAGATTCGAAAGACTACTACTACTCCATTCCGTGAGTAATGATAAATTCGAATATTAGTCGATCGTGATAACTTATAACAAGTTATACATAGTAAGTTGTAAAAATTTTGTTATCAAAATCTATTCGAATGATAGAGGGAGTCATGCCATTGAAGTCACTTTTTGATTTTTCTCGATATCTCGATCCGTTGCCGAGATACAAGGATTCAAAGTTTCCATAGCGCTTAAAATAGTGCAGAAATTATGAATGGGACCGCGACCTACATTTTTTCCTGGAAGTGCGTACTACGTTCTTCTAGGAATCGCGTCTGTCGACTGTCTGAAGTTTGGGATAGGTCAGTCAGGGGAGTACGAGTGAGAGATCCGATTATCCGACAAGGACGGAGATAGTAAACGATTAAAAATTACCTTTTTCTTTACACGACGATATCTCGGGAACCGGAAGTCGTATCGAGATAAATCAAAAAGCGTTTTAAAGGGCAAGGTTCAATGCTTCTAATGATCGTTCATTCGTTGACCGCGAGTCATTATCTTCGGAGTTATAGCGATTCAAAGTTTTTCTAATTTCAATCGGATTGAAATCGAGTTTAAGGTAAACGATTAAAAATTATCTTTCTCTTTGCACGACGATATCTCGGGAACCGGAAGTCGTATCGAGATAAATCAAAGAGCGTTTTAAAGGGCAAGGTTCAATGCTTCTAATGATCGTTCATTCGTTCACCGCGAGTCATTATCTTCGGAGTTATAGCGATTCAAAGTTTTTCTAATTTCAATCGGGATTGAAATCGAGTTTAAGGTTGAAATGATTAAAAATTATCTTTCTCTTTACACGATGATATCTCGGGAACGGGAAGTCGTATCGAGATAAATCAAAAAGTATTTTAAAGAGCAAGTTTCCGCGGCTCTAATGATCTTTCATTCTTTGAGCAAAAATTATTAATTTCGAAGCTATAGCGATTCAAAGTTTTGTTAATTTTAATAGAGTATCTCAGGAACTGGAAATAGTATCGGAATAAATAAGAAAATTTTAAAGAGCAAGTTCTCGCGTTTCTGCTGATCTTTTATTCGCACAAGCCATTAATTTCGGAATTATAGTGGTTCAAAGTTTCCTTTCGGACACTTTTTTATTCTACATTTGAGTTTAAAGATATCTATGTTCTTTGAAGTTTATATTTTTTTTCTTTAAAAAGGTTTATTAAAAAAATATCTTTGCCGATTTTTAATATCCAAAGAATCTAATTTCTTATTTTTAAAAGTCAATGAAATCGAGTTTAAGGTTGAAATGATTAAAAATTATCTTTCTCTTTACACGATGATATCTCGGGAACGGGAAGTCGTATCGAGATAAATCAAAAAGTATTTTAAAGAGCAAGTTTCCGCGGCTCTAATGATCTTTCATTCTTTGAGCAAAAATTATTAATTTCGAAGCTATAGCGATTCAAAGTTTTGTTAATTTTAATAGAGTATCTCAGGAACTGGAAATAGTATCGGAATAAATAAGAAAAATTTTAAAGAGCAAGTTCTCGCGTTTCTGCTGATCTTTTATTCGCACAAGCCATTAATTTCGGAATTATAGTGGTTCAAAGTTTCCTTTCGGACACTTTTTTATTCTACATTTGAGTTTAAAGATATCTATGTTCTTTGAAGTTTATATTTTTTTTTCTTTAAAAAGGTTTATTAAAAAAATATCTTTGCCGATTTTTAATATCCAAAGAATCTAATTTCTTATTTTTAAAAGTCAATGAATAATTCTTTTCTTTTTTATCATCATTATTTATTATTTATCAATTTTGTATAAAAATTTTGTAAAATCATGAATACGATTCCTTTATCGAAAACTGTCAAAAGAATTGAATTTCATCCAGAAATGCGATATAATCTTTACTGGAAGATTATTCCACGCATGATAATCTATTCGCTTTGATCTCTGTCGGCTCGATTTGAACATTAATCAAATTCCTTTAACATTATCGTGCAACAGAATCCGTAACAATGAATTCACAAACGGTCTTAATTAACATTCGTTCGCTATTGATACTCGATATAATACTTTTCCTAACAATTAACTAACGTATCTCTTATTCTTCGATTCTATTCTCAATTCAATCTCAAGAAGTTCTGCGAGATCGTTTTTCGATTCTAAACCCGATAAGAGTGAAAATAAATTCAAGAGAAGATCGAATGGGAATGGTTCGAGTATGATTTGGTAGAAATACGCCAGCTTTTCAAGAAAAGTGGAATATCACAAGATCATGAACTAATCTTTCAAATAGCTGATATGAAAAGGAAAGATTTAATGTTATCCGTATTCTTTTCTTCCGTAAAAATATTCATTTTTGATTTCTTTATATTTACAAATTTCACTATCTGTCACTTTTAGAAAAATAACATACGAATATAAGTTCAAATGTAAATACTGAAGTATTATTACACGTACATTTAATAATTTACGTCTCTCTCTCTCTTTCTCTCTCTCTTTCACTTTAATCTCAGCTCGTAATCCTTTCCACGATAAAACTCTCCTAATTACGCACGGTAATAAAATATTTAAACCTTAATGAAAAACGTAAACTTTACTTAAATTCCGTAACATCTTCCTTTATTTTTAACTCAATTTACTTATGAGAAGTATAATAATAAAGTCAAATTAAATTTTCCTAGTTTTCAATTTCGGATAAAAACACCTTTAATATACGCATAATAATGTTAATATTAAAAAAAAAATAAAGGAGAAAGGAATGAAAAGGCTCCGTAATCCAAAATTAAGTTGAAAATATTTCATCATGATAAATTATTTACAGGAAACAATTAACTGAAATGAAACGAATCAAAAATCGATCCACATTTCAGCATGAGTACCGAATCGTGAAAGACAATCCTAAATTTATTGTAATTTCAGTATATTTGATTATTGCACGAATGTCTTCACATTTATTTGTCCAATTATTAACACGTGCTAAATTATCTCGTATCTTTGACAAACATTGTCATTGTTTTATTAGATACTCACTAGATAAAAGCATATCGATGTTTGTCGATAAAACCTAATCAAAAATGACGTGGTATCTAATGGATAAATTAATCGAAACAATTAATCCGTGGAATCTCATTTCGAGATTTTAAAATCTATGCTTTCGATGCGAAAATACAAGTTGAATTTCTTTAATCCAAATTTTTCTTTAATCTAAATTTTTTTCCATTTGATATTTTTTTTTTTTCGATTTCTGTTTATCTCTTGCTCCATTTTACCTTCTTCTTCCTTTCAACGTTACTTTTCTCAAGGGGATGTCGATTCTTTGTTGCACTTCCTTTAAGTGATTTCATCATTGTATCAAGCAAACGTTCAACTTCAATTACCAGATTGACGGCCGGAACTTCCGGTAGCCGCTTATGGCCACGGATATTCCACTAACAGTATTTCAAATGACGACACTCTGCATTAAAGACTTAACTCGCACTGAAGTACGGCACTGAAAGTAGATTAGAAAGTTTTTTTTTTAAAATTATCTCGTTCTTAAAATGTCGAGCAATGATTCTCTGTTGGATAATGAATTTTTTAATGC